TGAAATCATTTGTTTCCCTCCACTTCCCAGTGACTGACACAAATTGGAACCAGATCATCTCCGAGCATTGTGTCCCCCCCCCCCCCCCCCCCCCCCCCCCCCCCCCCTCCTCCCACTCCACCTCTCCCAGAGCAATAAGCCTTGTGCTCTTTTCTAGGGGGGTGGGAAAGCTGGGCTGGGCAGTCTGACGGGAAAGGAGGGGGCAGTCGAGAGAGAGAGGGGACCTTTCAGCTTCCCTGAATATGGACAAACTTCATTATTTCTTCCAGCCCTCTGTCCAGTCTTCCCCTTTCTTCCCCATTATACTCTGTGTGAATGAGGTTGCCTGGGTAATGATGGAGGAAGAAAAAAACGCCCCTCTCCTCCCTCTCAAAAAAAAAAAAAAAAAAAAAGAAGAGCGTTTTGGGACGTGGGATGAGGAATCGAATTCATGTATGTAGAGAAAGCGTTTCTGCTGGAATGCCTGGCTGCTTTTTCTGGGGTGGCGGGAGCAATAAGAAAAGAGGAAATCCCAAAGTAAATGAATTTGACGAGTCCATATCGAGCATGCCTGATTTCCATGTAAATGAAGTGGTGAGGGCGGGGGTGGGGTGGTGGTGGTGGGGGGGTGGCGCTTCATCTCCCACTGGCCCCTGGGGGCCTTCATCATACCTCTCTTTGATAGCTGACGTTGCCCATTAGCCCCTGAGCGCAATCGCCGCATTGGGCCATTACACCCCCTGCTCTCATTAAGGTCCAATCTCCTGCTGCGAGGACAAATGCCCCCTTTGTGCGTCTCCGCAGCAGTGCCACGTTCTTTCCGCGGGGTCCCTGGGGACCACACTGCTCCTAATTTGGAGGGTGGTGTCTGTGTGGAGTTTCTGACGGCAGTCCAAACTCCTAACAGCCCCGGCAGCAGAGAGTGGGACTCACAACAAAGCTCAGCAAAGTCAGTGGCGCCACTCTCGTCAGACGCTGATCGACGACCAGGAGTGAGTCAGCCCATTCACACAAGCCTGTATCATGGTGATGTACTGTAAGTGAATAAATTAACAGCCGAGGCAACAGGTTTGTTCGTCCTCCTTCTGGGTAATTACACACATGGACATTGAACAATTAGAACCTGCAGGTAAATATCGCTGTGGCACATGTTCTGATGTCAGCAGGCACATGAACAATGGGGTCAGGCAGCGCTCCAGTGCTGGTGCAGCCAGACTTGATTGAAATACAAACTGGTGCAAATGAAGCATGTAATCAGATTAGGGCTGCAGCCCTGGGGAGGCTGCAGGGCAGGCTGGGAATACAAGCAACGAGGCCACAGGGAGCACTGGCAAAATATCTGGAGTTTACATCAGCGGCGCTCTCAGACCTCACTGATGTGTGTTTAGTGTTTAGTCGACGTGTGCTGCGGTGAATGGATGGAACAACATGCATGTGCTGGAAATCTGTGCGTTAGTTTGTGTGTACGAAATATGTTTTGTGGTTTTACGTGTCGCTCACCTGACGGCTCCTCGTAGCTGCTGTACGTCGCTGTGGGAGATGCAACTGGGATCTCTGTGACAAAGAGGAATAAACACATGTATTTCACTTTTGCATCATTTGGCAATGAAAAGAAAATACAACTTGTGTGATGATATTCGCCGTAAAAACGCCTCCTCTAGAGCAACGTTTGACCCCTGAGCACATATACGAAAAAATACTTTAACACGATGTTCTGTTAATGACACCGATTTGTGGAAAAATATGTAAGAAAGTGAGTTTCCTGTTAATGCCTTGTTCCCTCCTCATTGTGGTGCATGTGTTACAGTTGAAGAGAGCCAAAGCCGGCAGTCTTGTTAAAGTCGGAGCTGGCAGGGAGGTAGAGAGCACAAATATTTAATATCGTTCTATTAAAACCAAAAATATATGAGAAACCAAATATATTCTGCTCTTTAAAAAGCCCATTTCCTCCTTTTTACACCAACAAAACGAACAGAAATCCTGCTCCAGCAGCTTCACAGGTTTAAATGATCGCTGTGGTTTCCAGCCAAACTCTGATTCTCGGTCTAATTTCCATCTATCGGAAATGTAACCCCGGTAACACAGCGGACGATTGTTGGTGTGCGCGTGACCTCCCAGACCTTTATCTTATCTGTTGGTGCCAGCCGACTACTTGATGCGTCGCATTTGCAGCAGCTACTATAGCGACGCATCTCTGTTTCTGTGAGGCGCTGGCGTTTATTGCCGAGCGCCTGGAATCTGCAGGCAGCAGATACAGCCAATAAACATATCAGCCATCATTCCCCTGGACTCATTCTGGGGATTTATTGTGAGACGGACCGTTAACGGTGTTGAAGGCACACAAGGCCATGTTAGGCAAGCAGTAATGGTCTGTTTATCCAGGCTCTGGTTTAAACAGCCAAACATCTATCCAAAATAATGGAACAGGGGTATAAAAATAACACAAGATGAGTGTGAGCCATGAATTCATGCATAACAAGATGTCCTGTCCTTTTCAGGTCCTGTCCTGAGGTAATTATCAGATTTGCTATCGCTGGTGGAGCCTGAATCAAAGCTGCAGGATTTGGCTGAGCGCGCTTGGCAATGGGTCTGAGTGAAATCAATTCATTTTGAATAAGAAGAAGCTGCTGGTTGATGAAGGAAATACACTGAGTTCTCACTGTTGACCGATATCTTGACCTGAAAGCCCTGAATGACGGAACGTACCGCAGCGTAAGAGCCGCGTTGCACCTTGGACTGTTATTCAACTTCCTGTCAGAGTATAAACTTCTCCGCCAAAGAGGATTGAGGTGCGGACAGTTGAAATATATAATGTACAGACTGTTTATAAAGATGAACACGTCTCCACGTTCTCCCACGATCTAGAAATGAAGCCAAAACACCGTCGCTGCCATCTTGCACATTTGGTGCCGCTCATGACGTTCATCCCGTTTTTATCACATCAAATAACTCTTATTAAAAACTTGAACTTACATCTCTTTGTTATAAGAACTACCTGAAATGACATTTGAGGAAAAAGTATTTTACGTGTCCTTGAATTTGTTTGTTTGGTTCGTGTCTCATAAACTAACATGGAGGAGAACATTGAAAGACGGTGCTGGAGATGTTGTATCTACGTTTATTTTGTTGCTGCAGACCTGAAGGCTGAATAGAAGAAGAAGACTTTCTTTGTAATCATTCAAAGGGATTTTTTACAAATCTATAAAGCATATAAATAATTAGTTAATCTCCAAATAATGAAGTCTATCACTTATTAAAACAGTGGGAGCCCTCTCTCGCTCTCTCTCTCTCTCTCTCTCTCTCTCTTGCGTTAAGGTGGTGGTAAGTTCTTACTGATGCAGGGAGCGATGGGCGAGCGGCTCTGCTGGTAACCTTTGGCACATCGGTTGCAGGTGATTCCCGTCACTCCGTCCTTGCAGGGACACTGGCCCGTCGTCTGGTTACACGTCTTCCCCGCCGCTCCGACCGGATGACAATCACATGCTGTGTAGGAAAAATTAAAAAAAAAAGAACAGAAACATCAAGCTAGATACAGTTTGTTCCCAAGTAAACAACTTGTGGGTGGTTTACAAAACCAGCAGCTTCACAAAACAAATATCAGCTTTCAAATGACTCCAGTGTGTGTGTGTGTGTGTCTGGCGTGTCCTCTGCTGACTCTACATATTCCATACAATAAAAAAAAAATAAAAAAAACCTACTGAGAAATCATCCACATTAGTGTGGGCTCTGTTTTCCTTCCAGAACATCACAGATGGAGAACTGGGCCGTGGACCAGCACAAAACCTCAATCAAATTGCACCGCTTCACTCCACCCATAATGACCAGAGGAGTCTTTATTAGGTCTGCGCTGGAAACAGTAAATAACTTGATTAATTATACTATTTTACTCTCAGTGCACAGTATCGCTTGGCTGTGTGTGTGTGTGTGTGTGTGTGTGAGAGAGCTTCTTGGGATTCGGCTTTGTGTCGTCTGCAGCGATCTGTGTGCTCTTCAGATTCGGTTCCCAATCTAAAGCTTTTTGGCAAATAGCTCCTCGCAAATACTCCCTGAATAATGTTCCTTATTAATGGACGAGTGGAACGCAATTCAAAGTCCAAGTATGCTGTTATTTGGGAGGATCACAAGTTAAATGTTGAGAAATTTGTTCTGTGTGTGTTCTGCCAAACATTCACCATAAAGCCAGCGTTTGAAGTGGAGGCCCAGCCTCCCCATGAGCCCCGCATGTGTTAAACGTACCAACAGTTATTTAAAATGAGCTTGAAGTGGTCCAGTAGAGGTCGGAGTTACTTGTAGTCTGAATTTATTTGAGCTTCATTAGCACAACAACATGCTCATTAAATCTGTCTTTTCTTCTAATTTCGTTTCTAAAGTCTTGAATGAAATCAAACAAGATTACAGAGATTTTATTTTATTTTTATAAGAATTCGGTGCCTCTGTGTTTTTATCCAAATTATTACAAACTCATAAATATCAGTTTCATATCAATTGTCTGAGAAATCAAGGAAAATCCAAAAAATCTTAATAGAAAGGGGAAAAAAATCAAATAAAAATTCCTGGATCCAGAATAAACTGTTTTTTCTTTAATACCAATTCTGCAAATATTCTTATTTGCTCTCTCGCTGAGAATCAGTAAACAAGCTCATCTCTATCTCATTTGTCTCCAGTCGAGCCAAAGTCAAACAGGTTTGTTGAATATCCATGAATATTTATAATCGCCTAAGAATCCTTTTTTTTTTTAGAACGGAGCCTCACTCGATAGCACGTCGAGCGGTTCACTCCATTTGTTTGGATAAGGACGGTAATATTTCAAACAGAGGATTTCATTGACAGGTTTCAGTGACATGCATGTGCCGGCAGGAGACAGAAAACATGAGATCCACATGAGAAGAGGTTATTTCCAAGGATCTGGTTAATGTAAACAGTAATTTCACAGTTTTTAAAAAACTTAAAATCTCTTTATGTGAGTTGTGAGAACTTTGATCTCCTTGATTATATTTAATTGGGGTCTGTCAATCTTAAATCAGCCAGTGCACGACATGTGAGGACGATGTTTTTCAGACGGTAACTGTGCAACAACCTGGAAACATGAATTCATTTCAACCTGCGGTGGGGGTGTCGGTGGGGTGGGGGAGGGGGGCCCGTGGAGCTGAATGTTTGCTGAGGGGTCCTGGGGAAGTGCGATGCAACCAACCATGCACATGCAGCCTCATCTCTGTGGAGTCGCCTCCACAGCCGAACATGCAAGAGGACCGGGGGGGGGAGGAAGAAACAAACTTTTAGGGGGGCGGGAGGTCGGAGGGGCGTGCACGGTGGGTTTCCAAGAGCCGAGTTTACACTGCGCTTGATGAGGGGTGAAGTTGTTAATCTGGGATATAAAGCATGAGGCATTCCACTCTGCCACTGGAGATGTAGAGGAGACGTTTTTTTCATCAAAGCTCAAACTATTAAGCGAATCGTCGAGAGGACATTGTGTTGAAGTGTTGTGCAGGGAGAGGAGGGGGGGGGGTTGAAAGCAGACTTCCTCCCGGGCCGTGTTGGCACGCCGCTGCGTTTCCTGTCCAACAACAGCAGAGTGGGATGGTTTTCTGATTTGAACAATAAATAAAAGTGGTTTGTGACTGATGTCACGTCGCTGTGCTTTTGTCACCTGAGGAGAAAAGGCAGCAATCAGAGTGTTTGGGTTTGACTCCAGAGCAGTGAGCCGGGCGTGACGAGTGACGGGCGTCGAGCGTTCAGGTTTCTGATCCAGCTCTTTGGAAAGCGTTCGCAGAGGAGAGTGAAGTGAGAACCTCTGGCTGCATCCACACTAATAGTTTTCATTTAAAAACACAGCGACTGTACATGGATAATCAATTACTGGGTCAGTAACACTGTTGTGTAGTTAAAACTGCTTCCATGTGTAGGAGATATATATATATATATATATAGCATACAGTGTCTTCCTGTGTACAGCGTCACACGGGGGTTAGAACGGATACGGAGCCAAAATGCTTGTGTGGACAGAAATGTTTTTTTAGTTTGAACCGAGCCCAAATATAGCTTGTGAAAATGTTCGGACTGGCCGAGTGGAGCAATGCTGCAAAGAGCCATTTGTCATTTTTGAACGCAGATGATCCGTCAAGCTTATGTTCAGTAAAACAGTAAATCGATCCGTCTCTGAAACGAAAAAAAAAAAAAAAAGAAAGTTCAGTTCTTATTTCTTGCGGGATACGTCCTGTTGATGTCTCCGTGTTTTTAAACAGACAGCGGAGGGGGGAGGGGGGGGGCACCAAAAGACGCTGTCAGCAGCCAATCACAGCTCAGGGGCGTGAAAACCACGATGGTCTCTCATGTGTCTTCAGCGTGTGGTGACGGGACAGAAATGTATGATGGCATCTCGTGACTCCGTTTAACTCGCAGAGGCGCTGCAGTGAGATTCATTCATTCCTGTTATGTGAACAGATTAAAGAGTAATAATCAATCTTCAGTCACATTCATGACAAACACTGCGGACACTGATCCTCCTCTGCTCTAACCGTCCAGCTCAGACGCTGACGTCGTCGCACGTGTGTCAGCGTCGGTGGGATACAGGCGTAGTAGGAATGTGTACGAGTTGTGTACTTTGTGCGTCTATGGGATATTTCTCCGCCGAGTGTTTGGACAAGGTGATTGAGTGACAGCAGTTTGTTTGCTCAGAGCGTCGGAGGCCGTCTTTACTCCCCGAGGAGCTTCGAGACAGAAGGAGCTCAGCTTTTGTCTCCGTGCACATTAATCCTCGGCAGCTTGGTCCTGACGTATGAGCTCACACCTGTGTGTGTGTGTGTGTGCACCTCTGCACATGTGTGTTTGTGTTGTGAGCGACGATTAGCGAGTTGTTTCCACTGCTCTGTTCCGTGGATCAGCTCACACCTCTGCTCTGTTTGTTATGTTGGTCTTGTCAGGATCCACAGAGGATCTGCAGCAGCACGGGTCGCTTCCCTGACACCATCACAGCTGTGCGCCTTTCTCTTAAGTTTAAAGAGGAAAAAAAAAAATTCCTTCAATGCCTCAAGTGTGAAACGGAGCTCAGAGAAAGATGTGAGCATTAAACCTACAGCTCCAGAGGAAAGTGTTGACTCTAATGCTAAGATGCTCAATGAAGTTGATGTGTCACAGGCACTTAAATTGAAACAGGTAATAATAGAGACTGTCAGCTGCAGCTCAGTCTTCTTGTGTTGTTGTTGAAATCACAGAGCTACACACTGTTGTGTTTACAGGACACCAGCCAGACACACTACTTTGTGTAATGTTGGACGGACACAACACTAAAGCTGCTTTCACACGTGCACTGAACTCCACATTCTCTCCAGAGGAAGTGAGTACGCAAAAATGTCAGACGACGACGAGGATTTGATGCAGTTGTGAACGAGTCTGTGCAGAGAACCTCCCGCTGTACCTAATAAACTGACAACAAAGTGTGCAGTGTGTTTATGGACGAAGCACAAATCAACTTTTTGCCGTTTGCTTTAACCGCTGCTGTTAAAAATACCCACCGGGACAAAAAGAAAGAGAAGAGCGCGTATGAAAGATTTTTTAAAAATGGAGAAACGAATATGCACAATAGCTGCAGTGTCTTCACAGTTTAAATAAACACTGAGGGGGCTTCGTTTTTTTTAAACAATAAAACAAATGATGCTTCGGTCGTATCCACTTACCTTTGCAGGCTCTGCGGTGAGAGATGGACTTGGTCATGTCCCTGTAGTAACCCTCCTTGCAGTAGTGGCAGTGGCGTCCCGCTGTGTTGTGACGGCAGTTGAGGCAGACGCCGCCGCTCCTCCGGCCCGACAGCTTGTACAGCTCCATGTTGAAGCGGCAGCGGCGGGCGTGCAGGTTACAGTGGCAGGCTGGACGGACACAAAGACGCACAGTGAATACGACTCGTCTCTTCACGCGTTGCCGCTCGGTTTGACATAAATTGATGAATTAGGTTCAGGAGTTGGATTTTAAAACAATCCCCTGAAGATCTCGGTGTTTTCACTCTGTGACACCGACCCCCCCCCCCCCCCCCCCCCTGTCAGCTGAGAAACCCCCAAACCCTCGTGAAACCAAAACGCATGTAGCGGACGGACATCGTGAAGCCGTGTGGTGTGAGTTTCATATCGAGACAACAGGTTATTGAACCAGATGGCGCGGCTTTGCCTGAGAATAATGGAGCGTCTGCAGGAAACGTCCTGGTCCAGGCTTTCTTTCACTTGGCCACCTGCTTGTGAATTTAACCTCTGACCCCTGGTGATGTCAGGCAGGAAAACGCTCTTCCGCTCTCCCACACATCTGAGCGACGGGTGCGCTCTGTGATTTATTGTCATTGCTGTTTTCACTCGTCGATATTGACCCCCCCGAGTTCATGTCCCTCAAGCTCTGACGATCTGCTGCCGTGATTTCAGGCGGTTGCCAAGTTTTGTCTTGTGGGACTGCTCGATATTAAAATAAATGAAAGAATCTACAATAATAATCGTGTTTTAAAAGTCAACTGTTCTTTTCATGGTAAAGTTTTCACCTCTGTCCGTTGGTTCGTCTGTCGGTTGGATTACGCAAAAAAACTACTTAGCAGATTTGTACGAATGTTTTCAGAAGGTGGGACACGGGCCAAGAAAGAAACTGCAGATCCAGGAGTTTCCAGTATTTTTGTTTGACATTTTCCTTGGAAAAGGTTCATTAATCTGGTAAAAATAAATAGTTGTTCATATTCAGGTCAAACAAGAACAATGCCAAAGCTATTTTTTTGAATTACAAGGGAGCTAATTAGTTCTCACCAGAAGAGAGCAGAGCAGAATACAAAGCTTGTGTGTAAATAACAAATAAAACTTCAATTATCTGAGTGTTAGCGATGTTTAGCTTTTTAAATCACTTCATTTTCCCTCAGACGAGACCTCACGGTCCCTCACATCTCGGTAATCTCTGCGTCTTGGCGTTATTACGTCGAGATGCAGGAGAGATAAGAGTCACATATGCTCCACGCTCATCAGTGGTTTGAATCACGTACAAACACACTCACACCTGCCACAAGGGACCAGAGCGGGCAGGTGGCTGGGATTCAGAAACACTCATTTTAAAAAGGGGGGGGGCACGCACAAACACACACAAACACACACACACACACACACACACACACACACAGACACACAGACACACAGACACACACCACCTCTGTGTTTGGCAGCTGTCACAGGCTTATCTCCCACACTTCCCTCCTAGGGTTGATTCAACACTCACTACACCGAGCTTTGAAGAACTCTCTCTCTCTCACACACACACACACACACACACACACACACACACATAGACACACACCCGCCCACCTCCATTTCTACTTCTCTCTTATCCCAGATGTTATCTCTACTTTGGAGACGTGTGAGGGGAAAATGCTCTTAGTGGAAAAAAAGTCAATGCAGGTACTGAACTTTCATCTTCTAAAACACGGAGACACATTATATAGATATTGTCGGCCGCCGCTTTTCAGGAAGACGACGCAATATGTCACACGTGTGCGTGAGAGCATCACGTGATCAATGAGCGTTATCTCTGCCACTGTCCCCGGGCCCTTCTGATGAACGCTGTGCTATCTCATCCACACATCCTCGCTCTGCTCACACACACTCAGCGCAGCCGAGTGACAATAGCTCCGGTTGCTGATAAGCAACAGGCTGCCGGTGGCCTTTACAGCATCTGTCACACACGTCCGCCACGTAACGGGATACAGGCGTTAAAGTCAGGGCACAGGTGACCCTCTCTGGTTGTGCGCGATACAATCTCAAGCCTTTTTATTCCTTTTTGTTCATGTTCCAAACGTGTGATTGTCTTCGGCCGCCCACAACTCCTGCAAACTGCAACGGGTTTCAAACTCCGTTTTCCAACTCCTCATACTTTTTGAAAGATTCAGCTTTTTCTGTAGCTTTTGGGCTCATCAGTAACTTAACCAATCCTCAGGAAGACAGTTACAAACAGGACATCTATAGTGTTGTATGAAATAAACTGTGTGTGACTATATTTATACGTGTTCAAACAATTTATCCTTTATCCTCATTTAATATCGTTTGATAATTGGTGCACGCACATGCAACCGCAACCCTTGACTTGCTAAAGAATATATAATTATTGAATAACAATACATTTGATCATATAATAATAAAAACGTATAATGTTGATAGTAAAGTACAACAAATAATGTTTAATGTTTAAATGACGCGTGTTACCAGCTGATCACGCGATAATAACTCGAACACTCGGCTCAGAGACGCTTTAATGTTTAATCCGTTTCCTACACTTACTGTAAAGAAGCTAAATATATCCGATGATATGTTTCTCCAAAGTAGAACTGAACAGAGAAATAAGTTTTGTGTGAAATGAAAAAACCCAAGAGAGATGTGAGACAGAGTGTGAATACTAGAAAAATGCATATAAAGTAACAGTTACTGCAAAACTGCCGCAGCCAGCCGTGTTTTTATACATGCAGAGGAGCAAGGTGTCTTTTCTGGCTCTGCTTCCATTTGGTTTCGAGGACCCTCTCAGAGCGATGCTATTCCAATCTATTTATGCTCAAGTGGCATCTATCAGGCTTAGTGAAGGAAGAGGCCGTGGTGGGTGTGCATATTGGATGGAAATCACGCATCCCACAGCTCGGTGGAGGTGGTGATTCGCTCTGTCTGCAGAGGCGAGCGCACTTCAGAAACAATCAACCATCTGTGCGCCACCGTCCCTGATGAGATTCGGTCGTGGACGGTTTGAAGAACTCGAAGCTGCAGCAGCAGGAATTTACCAGCGCTGTCCACAGGTGTCAGATATTTAACCAGAGTGTGTGTGTGCATGTGAGAGAAAGACTTAAGTGTGTGTGTGTCTGTGTGATCTGCCCTGAAAAGAATGCACTGCTCCTTCAGAGATGGAGAAAGATGGAATTCCAGCACAATTGTTGTTTATCCAGGACCAATTACTCTCTCGCTGTGTATAATCCTGCTCAGACACTTGTATCATGAGCCGATGACGTGCGTGCGTCCAAATCAAACAGGGTTCATGTCTCGTCACAGCCTGGGATCAGAGGAGAAGACGACGTTTGGCCCGTCACAGATTACGAGGCCATATTTTCATGACAACAGTTGGTTTAGCGGTCGAATGTTTCAGAGACACACAGACGCTAACTGTGTTTGTTGGGAATGTCTCTGTGAGTTAGACAGTATGTGTGTTTGTTCGAAGGACGGAGCAGAGTTTTGTTTTTCTCTGTGCTACTGCAGATCTTTGGACTCGCTCTCTCACGCGCACACACACACTGAAGCTTCACCACGTACCCTCGATTTAAAAGTCTCGCCGCGTATAGAGCTTATACAATGCTTGCGTAACACCCATGTAGCATGTGGGTGATGTTTCACAAGTGTCGCAAGAGTTCATTAATATACATGAAGTGTCTGTTTAAAAGAAACATAGGTTCCACTTGTAAAAGGTGATGCATTATTTTACACTCTGCATAATCAGGACTTTCAGCGTTCTCCCATATTTTCAAAGCTTCATTACGTATGATTATAAAAGCTGCTCGAGCATCAGGGTTTTCAGCATTAGATGTATTTTCCTCGATATATTACTTTTCCCAGTGTTTTATCATTTACACCAGAGGTCGCTAACAGGTGAGCTGCGGTCCAGAGGCTGTCCTATCTGTAATGAGAAATTAAACCAGCCCAGATTTAAAATCATAACAGAAGGAGAGAGACAATTTCTGTCACTGAACAAAAAAAAGTTTGTTAGAGTTCAGTTGTTTGCTTGAGACTCACATGAGAACAGAGAATTTCTTTTTTATTAGAGTACTTATTTATCACCTCTCCAGTTCAGTGTGAAAACTGACAATGTATTATTAATATTATATTTATATTGATTTGACTGCATGTCCACGTCTAATACCTCGACATTTATTTCACTGAATCAAACATAATACACATTGTGGTGTTCCGGACATTAACTTGAGGGTTTTCTTTCTGGACTTCTCTGAATTTTAATCGAAAGACAAAAATCAACCTTTCGCACAGTATTACTTTATAAGTGTGTACTTTGTAAGTATATCACAAATTTTAAATGAATAATACTTCATCTAATTTAAGTGTCATATCAACCCTGTTGCCCAATTTCCCTGCATTCCATTCGCAGTACATGTATCTGGCTTTACATGCCCTGAATATACAGTATTAAGTAATTACGCTGTGATTCATGGGTCGTAATGTGAAACGTTACCATCTACAGTCACCGAGCTTCAATGGATGAAGTCATAACTGAATCTTTAGCTTGAAACTAGGACGCTGTATAGCTTCGCTAATAAGGCAATGAATAAGTCAGTGATTATGCTTCAGGCTGTGGATGTGGTTGTAATGATTATAGAGACATAACTTGGAGTCACTAAATCACAGCGTGTTGCGTCCAAATAGACTGCACCGATATATCATTATAAATCTGGAAGGCTGGGAATAAATCATAAATAAATTCTGCTGCGAAGGTTTTGTAAATCGCGGTCGTAAATCCAGTTTTATAGACGAGTGGGATCAGCTGCCATGGCGCTGCTGAGACTAATCTTTATTGAAGCCAACACTCCCAACAAACACGCTCCTCTGTCGCGCAGCATTCGTGGACTCTCTCTGATGAAGCACATTTGACTCGGTTACGCACAAACATAAAAACCAAGTGCCACGATCCGTCACCCTCAGCTGCTTCCAGGCCGACCTCCGCCAGACGCACGCTTCCCATAATAAAACATTTCAATCGCACATCTCTGCAGCAGCTGTGATTTTGATGAGGGCGAGGACGACAACAAAGACTTGTGCAACAAGCTCTCCAGATGATGAATCCTTTTACAAGTCCCCGCTCTGCTTTT